AATTTTCAATTTATCCTGGTCAGTCATATTAATTGGTAGTTTTCAAAGCACATCGCGGGAAGTCTAGAAAACAAAACAGACTGAAGAAATCGAATTATACTCTTCTTTTGAGTATGAAATTGGAAGACGTGGCTTTCTACAGAATAAGTAAAAGAATGAATATTTATATGCATGTTTTCCATGAAATATAATTGAATTTTCAAGGACATCGAAAATTAACAAGAAAATTGCATACTACTTACGTAGTCATTTTTTGCAGAGTATAGATCTTGCATGCAGCCGAAGATAAGTTCTTTCGAAAGCCGACATCCTGAGGTAACTGGATCATTATAGATTTATGCTGCATCATGATGAGTTTTACAACACTACGTAATTTATCTTTTCGAAACTAGAACGCATTTCGAAATGTTGGTTGACATTTCATGAGTTAGCACATCTACTGTAGTGGGTAGAGGTACGAGTAGCCGGATGTATAGTATGCCGCGGGTGGTCAGTGAAGTACGTCGGGCTGTTATGAGTGTTATTTTTTGAAGTAGACAAAGGAGTTGTTAAGCGTACCGGACGCTGTCCACTCCGATTCCGCCTGCGAACAGCGGAGAAAAATCTTGACTAAATGCGAAAAGTTAGCTAGGCTGACAGAGTGGCCAAATAACGTCCTTCGGGCCAACAATTGACAAGTTGGCTGTAATTTGTCCCGTCAAGTGAGCCGATCAGCTGCATTGACCACGCCCCACTTGCCTACAGTTGTGGCAAAATTTATTTCCTTTGATCCACCGTCTTGTCCTGATGCTTTGCCATCGAGAGCAAATTCCTGAAACAATCAGGCATACACGAAAGGAACAGCGCTCATGAAAATTTGGTTCCCTGAAAGGATTCGTTTTGTCATTATTACAATAACATGCCTCGCCTGCTGCAGTCATACTCATTAACGCTGCCCCTACACATGCTCAAGGCAGGTATGACAGTCGGATTAACTTTGTTGGAAGAAAAAAATCAAATTAGGCGCAGCTAGGGCAGAGGATAAAATGCCATAGGTTGCCATGGCAACCAAACGCCTAGGTTTTAATCCTGAGGGCGAGCTGGCTATCACAGACAGCAGTGGTAACGCAAGCATCGAGACAGTTTAAAAATAGTCAATAAACAGTGTGGCACGTGGTCTACCAAAAGTTCCAAAATAATGCTGTGTGTTTTCCTGTTCTCTGGCCAATCACCAGGCGCTGGCGTGCTGGTGGCGACGCTCTGCTCAGCCGCGAACAGGACAGCCAACTCAGGTTTCTTAGACGGATGCCTCCAAAAATTACGCGTGATGCAGTGCTCTCTTCCCCATATGCCCACTGTCTTCATAAAGGGAAGAATACGGTCTGGTCAGAATAACAATTACAAAAATAAGGCTCACATATTGAGTCACATTTTAGATTGGTTCAGACCAGAACTTATTAGTCAGTCTAGGCCAGTTATCAGTCTTAATGTTGGAGTACGAGAGTTATATCTGAGGCTCCAGTACGGAAAGTCGATACAGTATGCGGTTCGATAGTTTTCCTGGAGAAGAGGAAACCAGTCCGGCTCCCTTCCAGGCGTCCTACATTGAAATATCAACCGGATTTCTGATATTTATTTTTGATTAGAATGGATTACTTAGGTGGGGTTCCAATAATCCTTGTCGTACAACATAATTCCAAAATATTTCAGCCGCAACAGGATCTCAGCTTTCGAATGAGCTTCCCTCCGCCCGCCTGTAGAGACCACATTTGGCAAGAAGTGGCCACTTATTTAGTAGGAATTTTCCTTATTCTGTTTCGCTGCTCTTATAAATTCACGTATATTTTGTAGAAGACATGCACAAACATTTTCCTTGTACTCATTTGGTACCAAATTACGTCTCCAAATTTATACTAGGAGAAAAGGCATCTTTCGGCCTCAGAAGAGTTTATGACTTTTAAATGTTCACTCATACAGCATCGAATCTGTCAGTTTGGGAAACCTAGATGCCCGACGTTGCTGTATGGAGCAGAGACCTGGACGGTGTACATGAAGCGGGCACGTACATTCAACAACTTCCATCTCAGCTGTCTTCGTCGAAGACTGAAGCTGAGGTGGCAGGACCGGATCCCAGACAAGGACTTGCTGGAGCGGACGGGAATCCCAAGCATCTATGCTATGCTGAGGCCACTACAATTACGCTGGACCGGCCACCTCGTACGGATAGGCGACGAGTGGCTACCTAAACGACTCTTCTACGGAGATGTCACGATCGGTTCACGCCGTAAAGGACTTCAAATCCGGCGCTATAAGGACACTCTGAAAACCTCCCCGAAGCGCATGCAGGCTAACCCGGCCAATTGGAAAGACCTTCCGCCGGACTGACATACGTAGAGGAGCACAGTAGAGACAGGCGCAGCAATCTTCGAAGCCAATCACATCAGCTCCGTCAAAGCCAAACGCGAGACATTCAAATCTCAACTGCACCCACCGCCGCCGCCGCCGCCTCACAACGATAACGCCCAACAGCCTCCAACGTACCCACGATGTCAACGGACATTCCGGGTGCCAAGTAGACTTGTTGGACGCCCCCGGACCAACTCCAGCATCCGGACTGCACCAACAGTCGTCTCTCCGTCCACCTCTCCCTCGCCTCCCACGCCATCAAGTAGCGCTGATCGCCCCCCCGAACCACCACTACCCTCCCCCTCCTCCTCCTCCTCCTCCTCCTCCTCTCTTCCTTCTGCTCCACCACCATAGCCTCAGTGTCTGCCGTTGTGGCGTCTGCCATGCCC